CTGGGCATCTCTGTTTTATTCCAGGCAAACGCAAGGTCACCAGTTAATCAGATACAGATATTTATTTAATCCACAGTGGCTGCAGAGCGCAGTGTCAGATGCTTGGGAGGTTGAAGGGGCGGGAGCTGTGATGCCTGCTTCCTAGGAGCTCGGGCACTCCTGGGCCAGAGAAGTATGTTGGTGCCCAAGGGTTGGGGGGTAAGGGGGGGTCTTGTCGACATGGAGATGTGAGTGCATGTGTGTGCACACGCATGTGGTGGTGAGGCTGGCGACGCACGCAGTCCCACATTCTCAGGGGGAAGCGATCTGGAAAGCTGGTCCAGGAGGAGGCCTTGAGACGGGCCTGCGTCGGTGTTGAGGGGATAGTGATGGTTATGAGTGAAAGTGACGTTTGCCTGTAGAGATAGTGCTCTGAGGGGAGCTGGTTAAAACAGATGAACAGACAAGATAAACAAGCAGTTTTTTCACATTCTTCCAAAAATCCAACCAAAAACTTGTTAATGTTTTCCCTTCCCAGCGGAAGAAATCAGCCTCCCAGTTCTAGGTGACTGACAATCAGAGTGTCTCTAAACAGAGCTTTTGCTCCCAGAACTCCTGGTCTGTGGTGCTTGGCTGGCTGGGAGGTGGCCATCTGCTTTCTCAGGGCCTCAAACATCCCTTCCATTCCTATCTTTAGCCCCATCCAATCTCTGGTCCCCAGAGGCAGTGGGGATCCGTCTTCTGCTCTGCAGAATAAATGGGGGATGTGGGGACAGCTTCAGAGTTCCGCTGAGTTCCCCAAGTTTGGGAAGTCCAAGTCCATGCCTGCATCTGTGGTTGCTGTGGTCACCTCCCACAGAGGTCTGGGGGGTGACTTCCCCCTGGAGGGATGCAGTCTCCCTCCCCTGGAGGCCCGTGGGCAGTGCTTGGGGCCAGTGGCCATCAGGAGGCCGCCGCTGTTTCCCCACCTCTGCCAGCCAGCCTCAAGAGGGCTTTGTTACTACTTTGGAGAAACACACGTTCTATGAGCCGCCTCTCAGAATACCCCCTTGAGCCCGGAGCCTCTGTGGGACACAGACACGGGGGTGGGACCGTCCTGTAGCTGGGCAGCATCGGTGTCCTGCGGGCTCACCTCCGAAAAGCCTACGGGTCTGGCTAGTTCTTCCATCTCCACCGCCCTCGCTGAGCCACCCCCTCTGCACGAGCAGCCCCCTTCAGCCCCGTGGCTCCTGGCAGAAAGCGGCCCCTGCCTGCAAGGCCCTGGCAGCTCCTGCAGCTCCCGGAGGAAGGCCGAGCCCTCCCCATGCCCTTGTGTCTGCCTGACCTGCGCAGCTCGCTCCAGCCTGGAGCTCTGTCACTCTTGGTCCCGGAGCCCCAGTGACCAGGCGCCTCCCTCCCTCTGCAGCTCCAGCTCCCCAGCCTGCAGGTCCTCGCCAGCCCTGCACGGGCCAGCCATTCCTTAGGTGCCACTTCTCTGGGGCCTCTGCCTGTGGCACGGGGCTGCTGCCCCTCCTTCCTGCTGTCCTCGTAGCCTGTCCACTGTGGCCCACGTCACAGTTAGAGGTGAATAATTTGCGTGTGCTTAGCGCTGTGGGGCCGTCTGCCCTGTGAGCTGGAAGCCCCTGAGAGTGGAGCCGCTGTTGTCCGTCTTTGCCCCGAGTGCACGTCCCACGGCTGTGCTGCCTGTTGGTCCAGCGGGACGTTAGAGCAGGGCCGTGTCCGGGGGTCAAGGGGCAGCACAGAGCAGCGTGCATGGGGACGAGTCCACTCATTGGAGAGGGAAGGGGCCTCACAGATTCGCTGTGGACACGGGACCGGACATGCTCAGAGGTGTGCCGACGAGAGTGTACGCCGTCCTCCAGCGGAAGCAGAGAAAAAAGTAATGAAGTTGTTTGTTGAGGAATAAGTGAGGGAACCAGGTTTCTGGGACAGAGGTATTAGAAACATCTGTTTCTGGGGTGAGTTTAGAGGTTGGAAGAGCAGCTTCCTTGTTCTTGTGGTGAGTTTGGCAGTTAAACAAGTGTTAGAGGCTGTGTGTATCTATACGCACATACATACATGTGGACACCAGTGCACACACATACACATAAACATGTACGTACACAGTAGACATGTATACACCCATACACACATGGAGGTAGACACATACGTACACAGTACATGTACACACATTCACATACATATACACAACACACATCTACACACATTTGCAGGTGTGAAAACACACACACATATGTAGACACACAGTACATAGCACACATGTGCGTACACTTATACCTTGGTGGCCTTTAAATGTGGTGGTAAAGATGAACGACATTATCGAAAAATGCATTGGGTAAGACAGTAATGAGCACAGCACACCTACTAGAACAGCCAAGATCCAGACGCTGACACCAGACGCTGGCGAGGAGCAACAGGGACTCTCCCTTCTGGTGGGGACGAAAGCTCGGTGGTCAATTACAAAACTAGGCAGACTCTTACCATAGGATCCGGCAGCTGTGCTCCTTGGCATTTACCCAGAGGAGCTGAAAACATGTCCACACAAAAGCCTGCATACGGATGTTTATAGCAGCTTTATCCATAGCCGCCCAAACCTGGAAGCAACCAAGATGTCCTTGGGTAGGTGAATGGGTAACTAAACGGTGGTGCGTCCAGGTAGTGGAATAGTGTTCAGTGTTAGTAAGAAAGGGCTGTTGAGCCTCAGAAAGACATGGAGGAACCTGAAATGAATGTGACTGAGTGAAGGAAGCCCGTCTGAGCAGGCTGTGTTCTGTATGGTTCCAACCATATGACATGCTGGACAAGGCAAATTTATGGAGACAGTGAGAAACATCACTGCTTGCTGGCGTCAGGGAGGAGGGAGGGATGAACAGGTGGGGCACAGGGGATGCTAGGGCAGTGAGAATACTCTGTATGACACTGTGATAGTGCGTACACGTCAGTGTACGTTTGTTCAAGCCCATAGAAGTACAGCACCAAGAGTGAACCCTAACATGAACTATGGGTTCCGCACCCGTATGCTGATGGCGTGTCAATGTAGGTTCGTCAGCTGTAACAAATGCGCCATTTGATGGGAACGTTGGTAATGGGGAGGAGGAGGATTATGGGGAACCTGTGTACCTTCCTCTTAATTTTGCTGTGAACCCAACACTGCTCTGAAAAACAAAGTTTATTAACTAAAAGCAGCTCTTGGGGACAGTGTCGCTGCCTCACCAGTGTGGCTGGAGTCTAGGGGTGAAGAGCGCCCAGGGTTAGCTTTCAGACGATCCAAACAATTAAATGATTAGCTAACACTGATTCTAAAAGCACAAACAATATTATGTATCACGTTATCTATAGTCTAAATATATGTTTAAAAGAAAGGTTTCAAGAAAATCTGATGAATATTTTTCTTAGAATATATTTACAACACGTACACCACAAACCAGATTGAAAGAATGAAGCCGTCACACTTGAGAAGGGAGAGAATTTACCTGGAACACTCCAAAACAGCGAGGCAATGTCTTTGCCCGTATTCTCCTCTGTGACAGCCTGAGTGGTGGGGTGTCTCCTGCGGGAGGGGCTCTCAGACACGTCCCCGGAAGCGGGGCTACCCGCAGGCGCTTAGCTGGTTGCTGATACGGACCTGACTTCTCTGCCTGCCACTCAGCTCAGCTACTGATCCCTCCCTACACCCCAGCCTCAGTTTTCTCATCTAAAACGTTGGGTTGGACCGTTTTAATGCTCCTTCCCTGGTTTCAAGATGTTTCCACTTGAAGAGGGACATGAAAGTTCCGGTGTATTCTGGGGCTTCTCACTCTTTCCTTGCCCCACACCCCAAGCACACCGCCCACTGGCATGCAGTTCTTTGCATGAAACGGAATCAGAGAACAGGGACACTTATCGTCTGTGTTCCAGCTGAGCAGACCGTCCGTCCTGCTGGGGGGTGGCAGTGGGGAGGAGACCCTCCGTCCGAGACAACTGTCCCTGGATCACTGGTGGCAGTTGGGTTAATTTCAGCGGCGCTCACCGAGCGGGGGCAGAAGCTGAAGGTTGAACTTCTCACGTGGCCGCTGTCTGCCTGCTCCCAGCAGCCCAGCAGCCCGGCAGGTCACCTCCTGGATTCTCTGGGCTTTGCAGAGGCCCACGGAAATCCGGGAGGTGCTTGTGAGAGGACACTTACGATGACTCTCTGCTGCTCACGCGCGGCGTCCGCCTTAAGCACACGTGGACTATGGACTGCGAGCAGCAATCAGCCTGGCGCTGGGCAAAGCGCTTCTGCTAATTAAACTGGTTGCATTTGAAAGGCAGTGAACAATGGAAGCGCTTTCCCCCTGCGCCCAGCCCTGGGCGAGGCCCTGGGTCCTGAATTAGCCTTTTGTACCCAAGGCGGTGATTTGAATGTTTGAACCCCCATAGGAAGCTTGTCTCAAAGTGAACAATTCGCTGAATAAAGACTAATTAGGGTCTAAATTAATTAGAAGGTGCGGTTTGAAAAGATGTTGATGAGCAGAGTCTGTCATTTCAGACAAATAGGACAGAGCAGGATAATGGGTCCCCATTAATATCTCACTGTTCCTGGAGCCCCCGTTCTTCACCGCGTTCTGAGGAAGCCCCCTGGAAGCCAGCCCTGCCAGGGCTCCATGGCCCCGCCACCAGCGCCTCCTGCAACCGGGCACTTAGGTTCCTAGGCGTCCTGTTTCTCATCTGGAAGACGGGCCTGAAGACTATTGACCATTTGGTCACTGGACAGGCAGAAGCAAAGCTTCACATGGAAAGTGTGAAAGTCTCTGCTGGCAAATGACCAAAAGGCGGGGGCTGGGCAGGGAGGGCTGGAAAGTAGACTAAAAACCCAAACCACGCCGGACTCAGCCTTTGCATCTGTGGTTTCCACGAAGCTCTGCTTTTCACCGAAAACACTGTCACTTTGCAGGTGCTTCTGATCCTGGCAGCCCCTCGGAGCCTCGCCACCGGCCGTGGCCAGGGCTTCCTGGCCGTCTGTCTGTCTCCTCTCTTACCTGACCTGCCTCCCTTTGTTGCAGATGGAGCGTTTGGACGGTGTCAGGAGCTTCCAGCCGTAGACGTGCACCACTACGAAGTGTCGCCAGGGGTCCTGCAGCACCTGACAGCCACCCTGAGGGCGCTCTCCCGCACAGGTACGCAGGCCGGGGCCCAATCCGCGGCCTGCTGCTGGGCCAGCGGCCACTACGGCGCCAAGTGCTTGGAAGACATGTTGCTTCTTCTTAAAAGCCCTTGGCCTCTTAGGTGGTGAGGAGTTAGAAAAGGGCCGAGCCAGCCAGTGTGCGATGGGCGGGGGCAGGCGGCCTGGGTCCCTCCTGGGTTTGAGGTGGTCCCGGCAGCCGTGGCTGGCGCTGCCGGTCAGTGAGGGTGGGGGTGTGGCCGTGTGTGTCGCTGCAAAACGGCCGCACCGCCGGAGCCCCGTTCCTAGTGTCCCAGCCCAGCCGCCCGGCTGCTCGTGGACCACGGGCAAGTGTGCAGTCTTGAATAAGGCCCGGGAGCAGGCCAGGCGCAGCCTCCCCAGGGAGAGACGTTTTCTGCAGAGGATGAACCCTGAGGGTCTGCGCTGTGATTCACCTGCCGCGGCCTTCCCGGGCTCCTGCAGCATCGGGTCTGCCGTGGACCCTCCGAGCGCAGGCATCTCCCCTGGGCACGTGGGACCGTGGCTGCCTCCTGCCCACAGTGTCCTCAGTGTACCGGTGTCCCCTGCATGAGGCCCGTGAGAGGAAAGGCGATCAGGGTCCCAGAGCCCCGGATGGCGCCGAGGGCTGGAGCGCTGACACGTGGCACTGTGGCTGGCCTGGCCCGTGAGAGCGGGCTTCCTCTGATGACTGCTCCCGCGGGCGGGGGAGCAGGTGCCGTGGGCTGTGCCACTCGCTCCGACAGAGAAGACACGTGGTGGCAGCGGCGGTGGCGGTCGGCCCCATGCGGGTCCCTTCATGGGACCCGCCGCCATCCGCGGATGGGCGTGGGGAGTCCTCACCCTGCTTCACCCACTCCAGGAGTGGGGTGTTGCTTTTGGTCTATGATGTTGTAAGTGGAAACTGCGGCGTGTGGTGGCCTTAAGTGGAGGTGCTTTGAGTGCCTTTCCCGTGTGATACCCTCGCTCTGCAGGTCAGGGAACAGGGTGGGGATTCTGGTAGCCGCTGAGTATGTGCATTCCGGAGCCGGGGAGTAACCACAGCATGGGTTTGCTCACCTGCCCCATAAGCCCCTCTGTGCCTGGCGGGCCTTGGTGATGTTTTGGGTCTTCTGGTGTTACTGTCAGTTGAGAGCCGGTGTCCAGCGGTCACGGAAGAGTGTGCTGACGTCCTTTTCCTCAGCGCACAGCTGCCCCGGTAGAAGGCTGCAGGCCCCTGCTGGAGGCTGGGGGCGAGATGAACAGGATGAGTGTCTGGCTCGTGTAGCAGAGTCTTTCCTCCAGGGGGCCTGCTCCCACCCATCCTTCAAGGGGCTCTGGTCTGTGACATGGAGGTTCCAAGTGTGGAAATGGTGGAGGGGCTGTGACTATGTTGGCGATTCAGTAGATGTAGAGCTTTCCTGCTGGTGCAGGTCCCTGGATGCTGGTGGAAGGCCCATCTCGTCCAGCTCTAGGAACACTGCCAGCAGCTAACCAATGCCCCAGGCCTCATGGGCCACTTGCTCTGTGGTGAACACATCCCCTTCTCTTTGGCACTTAGGTGCCCCCACTTGGCCCCTGCCTCCCCAAGGCGCCATCATCCTGGTGCACTCAGGGCTCCCAGATGAATGGAAGCAACTCCCAGTGTATTCCTGACACACGTGGGCATCTCTGTGAGCCCTTCGAGGATGCTGGGACCCATGAACTTATTTCTCGTGCTCTCTGGACCCTCCTGGGGTCATGGGCAGGTCGATTGTGCTGCTCTCTCTAAGCCTTTGGGCACATGCCTCTGTCACGTAAAAAGGGAGTTCTGGTGTTTCCACTTCACTTCAATAGGGACCTTGTGTCCCTATTTATGTCAACCAGCGGTGGAGACTGCTGGAGCCGTTGGCTGGAGAATCTGTGCTTAGGGCCCCATGTCAATAAACTCTGCCTGGTCCAATTTCTGTTCATTCCGCCTTGACCTCACATCCTGAAGATCCATCCCCACATGTGTTTCTTTTGCTACAAATTGGCAACATCATGCAATTCTTTCATGTGCTTTGCACTCTCTCTGTGGCCACGCCTCACCCTCTGGGCCTGCTGGGACTGCCGTCCAGATGCGGGTTGAGATGCACAGAGAGGTGCAGGGTCAGCAGGGCAGCATAGAGTAGTTTCACTGCCCTCCAAAGCTTCCGTGCCCCACCTGCTCACCCCTCCCTTCCCGCCAGTCCTTGGCAACCACTCATCTTTTAACTGCCTTTTCCAGAATGTCATGTAGTTGGGCTCATACAGTATGTCACCTTTCCAGATTGGCTTCTTTCACTTAGTAAAATGCTTTGACGTTTCTTCCATGACTTTTCATGGCTTGACAGCTTGTTTCTTTTTAGTGCCGAATAATATTCCATTGCTGAGTGACCGATTTATTTATCAGTTGACCTACTGGAAGACATCTTTGTTGCTTCCAAGTGTTGGCAGTTATGAATAAGCTGCTATAAACGTCTGTGTGCAGGGTTGTGTGGACATGAGTTTTCGGCTCCTTTGGGTAAATATCAAGGACTGTGATTGCCGGGTCGTTTGGTGAGAGCACGATTAGTTTTGTGATTCACTGCCTGCCTGTCTCCCGGCAGCGGGTATGGAGGGGAGTGGAGTTACTAAACCTCTTTGAGGGGCAGTTTCTTCGTCTGGTAAATGTGGATGATCAAACAGGGCTGTTGTGAAGGTCAAACGCTGAAATCAAGTAAAATATTTTAAACCCTTTTATAAACGTAAGTATTTCCAAGTGTTAAATATTATTTATTTGATACCCTGTTTCCAATTTATGGAGCTATCACACAGGTCATACCCACCTATTTTTTTTCCAGTGGAATTATTGCAGAGTTTCTGCTAAGTTGGTTAGCTCTGTGCATCAGTTCAAAGGCCAGAAAAACAGCCATTTTCCAAGGGATGAGGATATGTTCTGGTTCTTTCCTTAGAACAGTGGTGAGGATGATGATGATACCACAGGTCCGCTCACTGACCGACGAGCACGGCTGTGCCCTATGGGAGCCAGTCTGGAGGTCCCCTGTGATCACGATGTGAGGGGACAGGCAGGAAGGACATTCGGGGCCTGGAGCCGCATTCCTGTCCTTCCTGAGCCCGACTCAGCCCCTCCCCGGAACACCTGGTCCCTCCCGGGAACACCCTATTTTTAAGCTGATTCCCCCGGCCAGTCCTGAGCAGGCTGCACTCGGTGTCTCGGGAGCCCTGTGGTGCCTCGCACAGCAGCTGGAGGAGTTCTTTTGGGCCTGGGGTCCTGGTTGGGGATGGTGTTTTGACTTCTGCTGCTGGTGGCTCTTTGCTGCTGGGCCTAGAGGGCGCGTCCGAGTGGCTGGACAGGCCCGTGGCGTTGCGCTCTGTTACTTTGTACCTGGCAGCACGTTGCATTTCCTTCTGTCTTAGCGGCAGTGGAGGACTTGCCATAGTAAGCCCGGAGGTGTAGGCGTGAAATAAGGTTTTATAGGCTAGGTTGAAAAGAAGCATCATGGGGACATTTGTGCTCTCCTAAACTGCTTGTTCTAGTACCTTCTGGACATGATTCTGTGTTTCTCCCTGGGCCCCTCTGCTGCCTAATGCTGCAGTTCTCCGCGCTCCACTCCCCCTCCGCGGGCGGCTGATTCCGGGACTCCTCTGCCTCGGCCCCCGCTGGCCAGCGTGCTGGAGGTGGCGGCCCCAGGCCTTACAGGTAGGCTCCCCTCCAAACTGCCCATCGTCCTTGGGTGTGAGGGTCAGTTTCTGGAGGTCAGGTCTGCAGATGTTATGGGGCGTAATGAGGGATCTCAGGGGAAATCATCATCCAACTGGAGAGTCTGACGCCTGGGACCCATGTTTTCACCCTCTCGTGTGGAAAATCACAGGATGCAACCTCCCTGCCATCTCGCAGCCTCGGCAGCCGCGTCCACGGCAGAGTCGGCTGCGTGTTGCTATCGCTCGGCCTCGTCGCGGCCACTCCTCAGAGATGAGGGTGCGGTCTCAGTGACAGACGGCAGCTTGCAGGGCCTTCCCCTTGAAGAAGGAAGGGGAAATGGGGTTTCATCGTGCAACTTGCTTCTTCAATGAAAATACGTACGTCAAGGAGCAGAATATGTTCACTTCTATTCACTATCCTTGTCTCCTGCAGGCAGCAGTGTTTCATAGGTGGACACATTGTTCTCTCGCGTATTAATTTTTTTTTCTTTTTAAGATTTTTAGGAATTTCATGTAATGTCTGAAACATTTATATTAACATATTTCCATACAAATAACCCAAAGAAAGTTAAGTATTGGTTGTTTTTTTAAATTTTTAAATTTTATTTTTTTATACAGCAGGTTCTTATTAGTCATCAGTTTTATACACATCAGTGTATACGTGTCAATCCCAGTCTCCCAGTTCATCACACCACCATCCCCACCCCCCGCGGCTTTCCCCCCGTGGTGTCCATATGTTTGTTCTCTACATCTGTGTCTCAACTTTTGCCCTGCAAACCGGTTCATCTGTACCATTTTTCTAGTTCCACATACATGCGTTAATATACGATATTTGTTTTTCTCTTTCTGACTTGCCGCACTCTGTATGACAGTCTCTAGATCCATCCACGTCTCAACAAATGACTCAATTTTTTCCTTTTTATGGCTGAGTAATATTCCATTGTGTGTATGTACCACAGCTTCTTTATCCACTCGTCTGTCGATGGGCATTTAGGTTGCTTCCGTGACCTGACTATTGTAAATAGTGCTGCAGTGAACATTGTGGTACATGACTCTTTTTGAATTATGGTTTTCTCTGGGTATATGCCCAGTAGTGGGATTGCTGGGTCATATGGTAGTTCTATTTTTAATTTTTTAAGGAACCTCCATACTGTTCTCCACAGTGGCTGTATCAATTTACATTCCCACCAGGAGTGCAAGAGGGTTCCCTTTTCTCCACACCCTCTCCAGCATTTGTTTGTAGATTTTCTGATGATGCCCATTCTAACTGGTGTGAGGTGATACCTCACTGTAGTTTTGATTTGCATTTCTCTA